GGATCAGATATTAAACTGATAAGAACAGATACAGTGCACTTGATCTTTCTGGCTCCCGGTCGATCGGGCATGATGATCGAGGGGGAGAAGAAGAGGGGGCGAGAAAAGAGGGGGGGGATGATCGGCAGATTTTTCTTTTCTGGTTTAATTAATTCAGGGAAATAATGAATCAATGAGTTATATGAGTAATTCACCAAAATGGCTGAAAGAAAGTTGAGTGTTTGTTAATCCAGCAGGAGTGGAGTTCACCCGTGAATGATTTCATCGATCGATCATTTACTTGTATTACTAACTCTTTAAAATAATTAATAATTAATTAATAATAATATCAATAACTAATAACTAATAACTAATATTTAATACTTAATAATTAATCAGAACTTCGGGCGTGCACGTGGCAGTCGATCTCGTCAACGAATTGGCGCTGCAAGAGTCTGGATCGTGATCGGATTGTCGGGCGCCGACCGTTTGATGGAAGGAGCGACGGACTGCCTGGTCGACGAAAGCCGGGGAGTTGAAGAGAAACAAACAACGAAAAGAAGTTGCGACCTACTGGGGCGTGGTCCCACTAGCAAAGAAGATCGGATCGAATGGCTGAATCTGGACGAGGTTATGGAGATGGGGGGGAAATCGAGATTGAACTGCTCTTCTGCATCTCTGCATAAAACACGTCCAGTTTCAGGAGCTCGATCCTATCCTTCTTGCTAGTGGGACCTCGGCCCTGATCATCATGCTACGAGGTGCTTCGGTTACGGAAAAACAAAGAGAAAGCGCAAAAAAAAAGAACATTCCCAAAAGGCAATAAACAAACAAAAATCGTTCCTGCAATGTGCCTCCGCCCACATTACCAACTTCCTTTTTTTTTTTTGCCGTTTCTGCACCGTAATCGCACGCGGTGGCAATAAATCAGCCAGAGTGCTTAAGTGTGCGCCCGCGCGCGTCTTGGCGTTTACGTGGGGTATGTCAGGTGTTTGTGTGTGCAAGAGTCCAAGAGGGTCACACACACACACACACACACACACACACACACACACAGAGAGAGAGAGAGAGAGAGAGAGCGTCGTTAGACCGTCCGCAGTCCGAGGGTTGGGATCCCGTCTAGGAGGGAAGGGGCGCCTAACAATGGTTCTTTTCCTGGTGTCGGAGAGCGCGCGCTCGTTATGCGCCGGTGGCGATGGATGCGAGAGAAGCTGGTAGGTCTATTGTTTTGTGTTGTTTTGTGTTGTTTTGTGTTGTTTTGTGTTGTTTTGTGTTGTTTGTCCTCGTCTACAGCCTCCTCCCACGACTCATTAGAAGACGTCAGGGGAAAAAGAGGGGTGGGTCGGTGTCGGGGGTGATAGGAGGGGTGGGTGAGTGCAGGGGGAGATAGGTGGGGTGGGTGGGAGGGGTGTAGCGGGATATATGGGGGG